GGTACCGCCCGCGGGCACCGGCCCGGCCCGAGCGCGGGGGGAGCGGGCGGGGCGCGGGGAGGCGGCCCCGGAACGGCCCCTGGGCCGGTGCCCGGAACGGGTGCCCGGAACGGCCGCCGGGAGCGGCGGTTTGGGCGGCGAGAGGCCCGGGGGGAGCCCCGGAGGGGGGTTAAAACCCGCCGCCGCCTCGAGTTGCCCCTCACGGGGCGTTACCGCGAACGGCCCCGTGAGGGTCCTGCCCTGGCGCGGCCCCGCGGAGGGGCAAAAATGCGCGGAATTCAGGGCGCTCCGCGGCGTTTTGGGGGAGCCCTCGGTTGGATTCGACCTTTGTGGGTCCCTTCCGAGCCGGGATATTCTGTGAGTTCTCCTCAGACACCGCCCCAGCCCAAACACCCCCGAGCCCTCCGCGCCTGGTCCCGGGCCAGGCAGGGCAGGATGGAACTGCTCCGACCGAGGGATGCTGGCGCCTGGACAACCGGCCCCAAATCCTGTGGCTGCCTCAATTAAGCGGAAAAAAAAAAATAAAAAAAATAAAAACCAAACCCATCGCCTTTCTTGAGCTCTTAAATAACCCGGCTGATCTGTTCATTCTTGTTGTGTGTGTATAGACATTGAAGTCCTCACGAGAAAATGCAGGGGAGGTAATTAAGGAGCAGGAATTTTGGTGGGTTCTTTTTTTTTTCTTGTGTCTGCATAAAAACCCGTGTTTGGTGGAGGAGTTAATTTACTCGAGCTCCTCGTGCAGCATCTCTAACGGGAACACGGCGTTTGCAGTCGGTGTGTTTTCATCTTTTTCTGCAGCAGAAAAGCTGGGGTTTTATAAGAAAGAATATTTCTCACACCAGAGCTCTGTGAGCAACCTGAACCAAGGTGAACTTAACGCCTTCTTTGCAAGGGTGTGGGTTCCTGTGTCACTTGAGCCCCTCCACTCCCAGAGCGTGGCTGGATCCTACCAACAGCAGTGCCCAAATTTCACATTCTTGGACTGCACATTGATGACCTACGTATGAAAAGCACCATCGCATTTCATCCAGTTTTTATCCATGGATTTTTTTGTTTTTCAAGTTGCTGGAACACGCAGCTTGTTTGTTGTCTGCAACACAGTGGAAAGGCAGCCAGCCCCTTCCTGCCTTCATTTGCATGCCCCTCTTTGCCTGGAAGAAATACCTGTTCTCGAGGACACAGTGGCTTTGAAATAGGATACTGCCTGCAATCTTTATTGTAACATCTGACTTCAAAAGAGACAGTGCTGGGTTGAAAGGGAAGGCATGCTAAGGAGCTGATCCTTAAAAATAATGAGATCTGTTAAGAAGTTACTAATGTTTAACAAAAGGTTAAGGATAAATGTAATCAGCTCTGCCCTCTCATCATATTTTTTCCATCTTGCAGCCCCACAAAAAGGTAATTTGGTGAAATTATGGCAGCAAAGGCAAAACACTTTCTTTTTCCCCAGTCCTCTGATTTACTGTTATTGAAGTCAGTGGCACACTATGGTTGAACCATTTCAGTGTTCACAATTGAAATATCTTAAATTTTTACTAATTATGTAACAACTAAATAAAAGTTTCTGATTTTTTTTTTAATATATCTTTGATCTGTACAAGGTTGCTTGTACAGCCCGGAGTGAAGTGAAATGCAGTGTTGCAGCACCCAGCTGACAGCTCTGGGGTGTGTGTGGAGAAAGTGCCTGCAGAGTGTTCACTGCTCACATCTTTTCAGCCCCACTGCAGTGCTGTTTGCTCCCACAGACCCCGGGATCAAAGAATGCCCCCTTGCATCTCTGGGCTCTTCGAGGGGCCTGGGTAATTATCTGTATTCATGGCCTGAATATTCAGCATTAATAACCACACTTTGGGGCAGAGCTCACTGCATTTGTTATTGACAATAAGCAATGAGAATTAATTGTCCCTCATTAATTCAGTGGTGAACAACTTGCAGAATCACAGAATTATTCAGGTTGGAAAAGACCTCCAGGACCGTCGAGTCCACCCTGTGACTGATCCCCACCTTGTCACCCAGCCCAGAGCACTGAGTTGTTCCTTGGACACCTCCAGGGATGGGGACTCCACCACCTCCCTGGGCAGCCCCTTCCAAGGGCCTGGAGTCCCCTTCCATGAAGAAATTCCTCCTGAAGTCCAACCTGACCCTCCCCTGGCACAACCAGATGCCCTTGGTTTGCTGGCTGTGCTGCAAACCCGCCTGTGTGGAGCTCCCAGGGCTCTGCCCAGACAGCCCAGACCTCCCACGGCATTTCTGCTTCACCCAGTGCACTTGGCACCTGGGCAGCTTGTGCCTGTCCAGACACAGCTCTGCCTGTCACACCCAGTTCATGCCTTGGTTCTGAATCACACCCATAGGCTTGTGCTCACAGGCAGAACTCACTGCAGGGCCTGGGCTTGAAATATTTCAAAAATTAATATCCATGAGTAAATTTGCATAAACGAGTAGTGCCGTTCAGTTCACGAGGGAGGCCTTTCTTCCCCAGGCAAGGCTAGAAAGTGCTTTAAAATAAATACATCCACCAGTTACCAGCAAACTGCTGTAAACACACAACTGTTTCTAAGACATTGTTGCCAATTATTGCATTTGTCCCCAGGATAAACCAGGCTGGATCTCTTTAATTCTGGAGACTACTTGGATTTCACTTGGAAGCAAACAAGCAGGAACTCAGCATGGCCACAGCTTTTAATCCTCAGACTTCACCCTTCTGTTGGCCAGGGGCTTAGAGAACCTCACAAGCTTAGGAATCTTCCACAGCATGGCTGCCTAAAGGAATCTGATTTAGAGGCTCAATCTCCAAAGGTTTTATGATTCATCACAATTGATAGAGAGGAGAAATATGAAATATGGCCCCTGTGCACTGCTGTAACTGGACTGACATCAGCCATCTATCATCAGCTACCATTTGTATTCTAAAGTATTTATATCCCATTATTGAATTCCTCACGCTCTTTAAATATATTTCTCTTCTTGGCAACCTTATGAGATCAGGAAGAACTGTCACAAAGAGGGGGTTCAGCTCTGGCCTTGCAGGAAGACTGAGAAACTGAGCACATCCCTTGTCAAGGCCCTGCCACTGCATCGCCCTTTTTTCCACCTGCACCCTGTTTGTTTGCTAATAAAAATTAATGCCAAATATTCCCCCTGGAAGATATCTCTGCTGACAAAATACAGTACTCAGTGAGCTGCTGTTTCAAGTCATTTTACAGACAAGGAGGTGGGCCCTGAGTACTTTGAAAGCTGAAGCCCCTGGTGCTGGTCCTGCAGGCTGGGGGTGAATGAGTTTGGGATCTTTGTATTTTCTTATAAAAGGCTGTGCTGCTCTTATTATCTGCACCACAACCTCCAACAACTGCTTTATGAATTCATGTGCAGTAGAGTTTACCCTTCAGAGCATCACACTTTATCCAGGGTCTTCATTTGTATTCATCAGTGAGGATGGAAATAAAATTTAGCTTTAATTCAAAGGCTAATTTAGATTTCGGTATGTGATTAACATTCCACATACAATTACTACCATCAAAGTCAAGCATATGCATAAATCTTTGCAGGACTGGGGCCAAAAATATTTTTAAGTATCCACTTATTCAATATATTTTGTATAAAGAATTATTCTTATCTATTATTTATTCCAGGGCCTTAACTACGTAAATCTTGACACAGCTAAGCCTCTCTCTATATAATTACTCATTTTCTTACTTTTCATCTGGCTTCTCCTCCATACATCACTACCTAATTCCACCAGCCCTTGGGTATGAGCACAGTTCACTAACTGTAAATACAATTCACTCCTAGGAGCAGCAGGAATATTCAGCAATCTCAAAACCTAAGTTTTCAGGAAAGCATGTAACAACTTCCAACAGCATTGACTGTATAATCTGGTAACAAGGATCATTAAAAAATAATCAATACTAAATAACAAAAATCTATACTAAATTATAAATTATTGCAATATAGGAAAAGGGAGGAAAAATACTAATTTTTCCATATACCACCATTCAACTACAGCAAAGTCCAACTAGTCCACTCAGAGTGGGAATCACCAAAACTTTAATGCTATATTTTTGGCGTGCAATATGGTCATAATTAAACAGTTAACAAACATATACAAGTGCAATATGCACAGTGCAAAGGCAGCCTTGCTGTGGATTGTATCCACCAGGACATTCACAGCACCGGTCATGACATTTGCCAGCAAGAAAAACAGCAGCTGGTTTTTGTTAATAGCACTGATCAGGCAGGGCTGTGGCAGCTCGTCTTCCCTTCCCACCGGCGCGGCCGCTGTTCCGAGCTTTTTGTTGGAATTAGGGGGCTTCCCAACGCTCCAGCTGCAGGGCACGCTGGAGCCCTTCACCAGCAGCTTTGTGAACACCAAGGTGAGATCAGTGGCTACAAAGAAGACAAATAACATCAGGGAGTGGGCGATGACCCACAGGCAGAAGGAGAGGTTGGCCATCCGGCGGGACACGGGGTCCGCGTGCGCCTGGGACACGTGGAGGGACACGAACAGCACCACGACTGTCAGGGCCAGAACCCGCAGTGCCCCGAGCCAGCCCTTCACTGAGCTCCTGCACTGCAGCAGCCACAGCCCCACCTGGACACTCGCCAGGTAGGTGGCCAAATACCCAACGAGAGAGAGCAGCCCCTCCCTGTTGGCATCCAGAAATCCAACCCTGCTGTCCCTGCCGCTGCTCCCGTGCAGCAGAAACGTCTTCAGAGAGGTAGTGTTGAGAATGAGCTGATGAAGTGCAGCCAGAGTTAGAGCCACGATCCAAGACTTATTTTTAGGAAATATGGCTAAAAGCAGAGATGCTGCAAGTCTCACGGAAGCCAAGGTAAAGAAGAAATTCCAGTGCACTCCGTACTCCGACGTGTGTTCGTGGTAATCCATGGATTTCACGCTCAGCAGTCGCCCCACGCCGAGGGAAACCAAGGGCCAAACGGAAAAGAGCTGCCTGGCCAGGTTGGAAAACTTGGGCTGTGTCACATGAGGCTTCTGTCGCACCTCAGGACAAACGAGAGCGTTGCCAAAGATGAAAGCTCCGACCCCCAGATCCATAACTCCCGTGCCGTAGGTCTCGGCTTTGGCGTATCGCCTGGGATACTGCGGGAAATCCACGGCCAAAATGCTGATGGTTGTCAGCACGTTGACATAGACACGGAACACGGTTACTGCTGGAATGTATTCGGGATCCAAGCGTGTCTGCTGGAACTCTTTTACAATTTGCCCAAAGGGCACTCTGGTCTCCTGTTTTCTCTGGCTGCATATTTTGGAAAATATTCCGGCGCAGAAGGCGGCGAGGAGAACTGGCACGAAAAAGAGGACTGGAGACAAGACCGTGCAGGAGAACAGCAGAGGAGATACCAGCACCAGGAAGTCCAGCAGCAGGCTGTGTTTCCTGGAACTTACAGGTTTTCCATAGTGCAGGTGGTACAGAATTAGGAGGAGCCCTCTGCAGAGCAGGCACAGGGGAGGCAGGGACAAGCCCACGGAAATTTCCAGCAAACTAGTTCCGTTCAGGTTGCTGATAAAGGCTTCTTTCAGCTGTTTTTGGGACATTCTTCTTTCTTCCTCTGAAAACACAAACGTGACCTTGAGTTAGTTTTGTAGCACAGTGTAGCGACTGAGGCAGGGACACCCTTGCTGGTCAGCAAGAGAATCCTTTGTTATTTATTTCAAGCCTCTATTTACAGAGGAACTCGTTTCATTTCTGGTTTGTGAGCTAAGCATCTTCAACCTATCAACAAGCAATACTTGGCCCTATAAATTTACAGTATGCATACTTCTACCTACTAACAAACTAGTGTTCATCTTTACACCTGTCAGCTTTCTTCTTTTCTTCAATCATCTTGTTCTGGATCATGCAACCTTTGGCTCCATTCACCTTGTAGACACTTCCTCCCACCTTCTGCCACATTCTCTTCCATTCTGGTAATGTCCTTTGCTTTGGTAACCCTTTAAGTTCTGCTCTGGTCCACGATCATTCACAGAACAGGGGTGTCAAAACTCCTTAAAAAGGCATCTTACATACCAGTTCATTAAAACACCATTGATTTCAGGAGTTATTGAGTTACTTTTCAATTTAAAGAACACAGAGCAGCACCCCCGAGCTGGAAACAGTGGTTTGGGAAGCTGAGCAGAGTTACAGGCACGTGGAAGACTTGGACAAGCTCCAGCATTACCCATCCTGCTGTGCTCCAAGATTCTTCGTATATATGTGCTTAAGATCTCTAAATACCAGATACTCCACTGACTATTCCCATCGCGAATAATCTTACTGTATGTCCCGCTCTGCAGAACACACTTTGCCATCTCCTCTATAGTGTAAATGAAACAGTTATGTAAAAAGGAACTTTGCGATGCCAGGTCAGCAACAAACCCGGCGGCTGAGATCCCCCCTGGCACCTCTTTGAGGCAGCCCCAGCCCAGCCCGGCTCCTCTGCCTCCGGGAGAACACCCGTGAAACGTCCACAGCGTTAATAAAGAGCTCAAAGCCAGCGGGTTTCGTCTCCCCCGCGGGATCTTACCGGGAGCGGGGCCGGCGCGGGGGGCGATGGCACAGACCGGCGGGGCCGGGGCCGTGTGCGTGTCCCGCATCGCCCCGGCCCGCAGGTAAAGCCCGGCCGCGCTCGCCGCCCGCACTTTCGCCAGCGGAGCCGCTTCCGCAGCTCCCGAATCCCCGCCCGAGTCCCCGCCCGAGCCTCCGCCTCCTCCGCCCACCGCTGCCCCGCTCCCGCCCGGCCCCGCTGCCGCCCGCGGTAAGTCCCGCACCGGCCCCTTCCGTCCCACCCCACCCGTCCCGTCCCATCCCTCCCATCCCGTCCCGTGCCTCCCGCCGCCCCGGGATCGCCCGCCCGCTCCAACCCCGGCCCCGCTCCCGCCCCGGCGGCAGCGACCTTGGGCTCCCGACACCCGCAGGGAGCGGCCGGGAGGGATCCCGCGTCCCCCGGGATCCCGCACAGACACAAAGGCCGCTCCCGGGGAACCGGCATGGGCCGGGGGGATTTGGGATGGGGGTCGCGGGGTGCCCCGAGCTCTGCGAGCATCAGCTCAGGGATCGAACGTGGCGCTAAGTGGTGTTTTCATGCCAGGTAAGAACGGAATAAGGAATGGAACAGGAATAGAGAATAGAGAATAGGAATAGAATAACTAAATAGAATAGAATAGCTAAATAGAATAGAATAGCTAAATAGAATTATAATATTATATATTAGAGTAGAATTAAAATAGAATATCGTATAGTAGGATTGGAATAGAATATAATTATAATAGACTATAATAGAATTGGAATAGAATTAAAATTAGAATAGAATTAAAAATATTCTATCTAATTCTATCCAGAGATAGAATTAGAAATAGAGTGGTAGTAGTGGCAGTTTTGGCTGCTGGAAGGACAGAATTCTTCCTGGCTCTGTGACTGGAATCTCTGTGTTTACCACAGAAATCCGAAGGGCTTGACTCACCTTGGGTTGGCTCCACAGTTTTCCAGAGGAAGCAGGAAGGGGACAGCAGCCTATCTCGTTTCTGCTGCAGCACCAACTTCTCTGAGTCACAGCCTTTCCAAAAGCACTGGCGGCTCCTCCGATGCCGTCAGACCACAAATCCTTCCTATTTGGGCAAACAGAAGGAATTTAACAAAAAGCTGCAATTTCTTGCCCTATTAATTCAAGAGAAACAAAGCATTTTATTCCTGATGTAAGGAAAGGTTCATTATTCTCTCCAAATCAGCTTTATTTGCAGGGGCAGCAGAACATGTGACCCTCACTGATAGTCTGGGTAGACTTCCAGTGTTGCCTGGTCCCACTGGGATCAGTAATTCTGTCTGAAGCCTTTGGGCTTTGCCTCTGGAGAATGACATGTCCAGAGTTATTTGGTTCTAAATGCCTTTTTGTCTTATTTAAGCATCCTTCAGCCTGATTTGAATGAAGTACCCTAAAGTAAGGCTCCTCTCCAGTGTTCCCATCCACAGGCCTGGACAAGATGCCAAAGCAGGTAAAGAGAAAACCAGGAATTGTGAGTGCTAATTAAATTTTACTACCAGGAAAGAATTCTTGGCTTATTTCCATGCAGTCAAGATTAGGTAACTACTAATAAATATTCAGCCCTACTTCATGAATTGACTGGACCTCTTTACTGTGGGTTTGAGCTGTGCTACCAACAGCAGGCAGGGATCTCTGTTGTGCCCTTGGCTTTAACAGGGCAGGTACCTAGCACATCCTTAAGGGTATTTATTCCCTTCTTCATTTTCTTATCTAACCTCTCCTTTCCCTGGAAATGACAAACAGGACCTGGAACCTCTCTTAGTTTTCCATTATGTTTGTACAATAAGTGTGTCCTTCCAGCCAATCTTGTCAAGGGCACGGGAGCCCAGAGGCAAAGATTTGAACACTTTTGGTGATTCAAAGGGGACAAATCTTCAGCTAATGCAGGCCAGCTCTTCCAGCACCACCATTTCTCTGCCCTGGCTGTGGTGTGTGTACCCTGAAAATGAAAGTCTCTGCTGGGAAAACTGCAGTTGTGTTGGTCCACAGTTGGACACGGGAGCAGTAGAAGAGCTGGAATAGTGGATGAGGTGAAAGTCCAGCTGGATTCAGCCTTTGACTGGTGCTGATCTGACACCCCCTCTAGGAAAACGGCCAAAAAGGAGACTCTCTCGTCCAGAATGACCTCAGTGAATCATTTGAAGAAGAAGTTAGAGCCTTCCTCAGTGATGAAGAGAAACTGCACCTTTTTGATGACCTCACCAAAGTTAATCCAGTGACAACCACGACAGGTAGGAGCAGCCAGGGGAGGATCTCCTGAGGAATCACTTTCCCTGGCTACTGATCTGAGGTAGTTCCTGCTCTTATTGCATTAATACTGCCATGAACACAGTAGTTAAAGATTCAAAGCCTATTAAAGCCTTTTCTGAGCCTTTGAAAGTCACACTTAGCACACTCTGCATGCAGAGCTCACATGGGTGGTGTTGGTTCAGGCAGCCAGGTGTGAGTTAACACTGTTGCAGGACTTCTGCAGGACCTTGGCACTGCAGTTTGGTGTTACTGAACACATCAGAAAACGAGCTCCAACTTAGATTCCAAATATAGCCATGAAATTGGTCTTAAAAAGTAAATTCCTCCCTCAACTTTTAAAGATGTTGTTAGAAGCAGCTAAGGCCTGTTCCTAGCAGAGATGGGGAGTTCTTGCCTGTTTGTTGTGCAAGGGAATAGATTTGCCCTCTAGGACTGTGTGAAAAAAAGAAAAAAACCAGGATTTATTGAATGGAATAGTAAATCCCTTAAGATTTTTATAAATAAGGGCAACACTTGAAGACATTGTTGTGTACATTAGACCCATATCTCTCTTGGTCACCTCATTCTCTGTTAAACCTAAAAGGTAACACACCTGAGGATTTCTGTTCCAAACAGGCTCAGGATGAATCAAATATACTTTGCAAAAGGTGCTCACAGAAGGTGTGTTTTTCAGTTCTGAGATGTCTTCAAGCAAGATACAGAGCCAACTTGTTTTACACCAATGCTGGCTGCAGCCTCGTGGCTTTAAATCCATTCCAGCCTTTCTCCTGCCTCTATTCCCCTGAGCTTATGAGAGAGTACCATGTTGCACTTCGTCCTCAGGTAATGCTTGTATCTGAAATAACTGTCCTTCTGCAGAACCCAGATGTCAGGCTCCTCAAAATCTGTATGAGCAAAACAGTCCTAAAAGCTAAAACCCATTTCTAGTGAAATATTAGTTCTGTGAAAAGAGCAGCACTGTTTTCAGGTCAATGTGAGATGACCTTTACCATCCATTGCTATTGAACTGTGTAATTACTGTTCTCTTAAATCTGAATATTCTCTTTCACTGCCAGGATTTAAAACCTCACATCTTTGCAGTGGCTGAGCAAACCTACAGAAACGTCCAAAACCAGATGGACCCTGTGAACCAGTCTATCATTGTGAGTGGGGAAAGTGGTGCTGGGAAGGTAAGAAAATTTCTTTTTTTTTATGACATTGCTCTTAAGTTTTGAGATCTGCCAGTGATTTGTAGTGCAGAGTATTGCAGTGAAGGAGCAGAGATGAATTAAAACCCCCTCTGATGGAGCACGTAGCCAGTCTGCTCCAGTGTGACTCTCTTGAAATATGTGTGAAGCATTAAGTGATTGCTGCAGTTAAACACACTCTGCTTAATATAGCTGCTCTTCAGGTGACATCTGTCATTTCTGGGAGGGCTGGGTTTGAATCATTCAACAGGAACTGCACCTGAGTTGATGCCCCAGCCTGGTCTGTCCAGGAGCTCGTGTGGGTCTCAGCAAACCCTGTGCAGAGACTTAGATGGAGCAGAGAGTTCAGAGCCTGTCCTGGGCCCCTCCCTGCTCAGGACAATACTGAGGGTATTTTTAAGCCTGAGAACAAACTGATTTGCTGGGTGTTAATGACTCAAAATCCGTTTATATTCCCTTCATCTTAAGACACTGGCTGTTAATTCTGGCTGAGCTTCCAGATGGTGACATCTCAATGAAACTGCCATTCAGCAAAGCACTCCCACTCCAACAGTGTTTCAATGTGTCCGTGGCACAGAGTTTCCACTGAACCAGAGCTATCAGCCTGACACAGTTCCTCTCTTTAGCCTCCCCACCAGCTGCACACTGTGTCTCCAGCAGCCAGCACTGCTCACTGACTGACACAGCTGATAACATGGGAAAAACAAGGCCCTATTGTCAAGCCTCTCTCTTGCAGACCTGGACCTCTCGCTGCCTTATGAAGTTCTATGCCTCTGTTGCTGCTTCAGTTATCTCCCCAAAAGGCAATGAAACCGTGGAAAGGATAGAGAGGAGAGTGCTGGACTCCAACCCTGTCATGGAAGCATTTGGTAAATGAGGCTTTTTTAACAGCAAAAAGCAGTAATGGCCACTGTGGGAATTTTCTTTGTTGGTACACAAATCCAAGCTATGTCTTGGTCCTCTCCTTAAAAGTAAACTCTCAAAATACAGGATCAAATCACCCTTACTATCTGTATGTCCTGCATGGGAGAGTGGAACCACTCTGATTATTCTGTCCCTGGCAATTCCACAGGCAACGCGTGTACCCTGCGGAACAACAACAGCAGCCGCTTTGGGAAGTACATCCAGCTCCAGCTGGACAGGTAACAGTCACTCTGTCAGCCCCCTGTTGTCTTGTTCCTTTAAACCTTCACAAGCCTGTTGCTGAAGTCTGCCACAGAATATTTGATCTGCCTTCAGAGTGTATTTTGGTTTTGCTGGCAGCTCACAGTGTTATTATTTCCCTTCTTGTTTCTGCAAGCTCTCACCCTGATCTCTCAACCAGAGCAGGGGAAGAAGAGAGATGCAGTTAAGAACTCTGAATGAAATACAAAATTAGGCTTGCACAAAACTGAAGGTGAACTGCAAAGCATTCACAGTCAGTTGGTGTCACAAAACACAGCACCTGTTGGATTCTGTGAAGAGGTTTTGTTGAAATCTTTGCTCTTTTTCCCCCTCTAGATTCCACCATCTGAGTAGTGCTTCCATTCAGACTTTCCTTTTGGAGAAGACCAGAGTTGCCTATCAGGCCCCCAATGAAAGAAACTTTCATATTTTTTATCAGGTTTGCCTTCAGTTAATTTTGCTGCGTATTTCTGACAAACAGTGGGATGAAATCACCAGATTTAGCACAGTTGCAACTTTCAATAATTAACATTTTCCCTGTCTGCCAGGCTTCCAAATTAAATCACCCTCCCAGTATGTTATTCTTCCTTGTCTGTGAGCTGTAAATATCAAAGGCACAATTTGATCTTTACCTTGTTTTCTGCCTCCAGATCACAAAAGGTGCTACTGCAGAGGAGAGGCTGGAGTGGAACCTTCCAGAAGGGGCTGAGTACCACTGGCTGCCAAATCCTGAAAGAAAACTGGATGGTAAAGATGACTTTCACTGTCCATTAATAACAGCTGGAACTGTAAAGGAAGGCAGGCAAAAATATGTCCTGTTCAATGCTGTGACCCAGGGCCACCTGCATTAGTGGGACTCTTTTGAAGTTTCAGTTTGCACTATTAAATCTTAAAACTCAAACCTGGCTGTTTCTGGCTGCTGAATTTGCATCTCTGGGGCTGTGTTTTGAAACTGTCTCGTCTCTGGATGGGCTTCAGCACCTGCTGCCTCACTGCAGAGCCACAGAGGCAGCACTGAGTCAGGGACTGGGTTCTCCACCCTGTACTGGGGGATTTACCCAAACTGCCTCTGGCTCCCTTGGTGTCCTGTGACAATTCCAGCCGAGCTGGAGCTGTGCAGTGTCCTGCTTGCCTGTGTTTGTGTGCATGGCTCTGTTTTAACCAGCCCTTGTTTGGCTTTGCAGAGGACAGCTTCGAGGTGACCAGAGCTGCCATGTGTCACCTGGGCATCGAGCGCTCCACGCAGAGCAACGTTTTCAAGGTCAGGTACAAAGAGGGGACACCACGAGGCTGCTGGGGGTGTTTGGAGTGTCCTCCTGCTGTGGGATTGCTGCAGAAGGAAACCTATGTCAGTGCAGAGCAGGGGCTGGTTGGTGCTCCTGCAGCAACACATCGGGTTGCACAGCCAAATATTAGATCTTAACTAAAAGCCTCCACCTGTGAACTGCAGTTTTCCTTCAGGAACTGCAGCACGAGGGATTCACACAGAAGCTTGGAATGTGTTTGCTTCTTCTGGTGCAGAAATGCTTTGACTTGTCCTGTTCCTGGGGTTAAGGAAGGCTCAGAGGACACTGCCTTGGAGGGGAGCTGTTTTAAAAACCTCAGTGATTGTGTTTCAGGTATTGTCAGGCCTTCTCCACCTTGGGAACGTCCAATTCTCTAATCCAGTGGATGAATCTCAGCCTTGTGACCTGGAAGACAAAACCAAAGGTGAGGCAACAACCATGCCATGCTCCAGGGAGTCCTGATGGAAAGGATTACTGCACCCTTCTGCTGATATAGACTATCAAGGTCATGAGCAAACCAAAATTTAAGCTTGTTTTTGTGAGTAAACAAAACTCTAATGCTCCCCTGCTCTGAGAGACAATATCCTTCTGTGACAGGTCAAGGCAACTTCAGCATCAGTCAGTGATTTTCAGCAGGATTATTGACAGAACTGTGACTCTTGATTGCAATCTCACCCTGACATCACAAGACTTTGCAGAAATCTGACCCAGAGTGGAGAGCAGGGCTTTTAACATGAAAGCTTTGAAGTTTTCATGATAAAGACTTGAACTGAGTAACAGATAATCTGTTAAAATTGCAGCATAAATACAGGTGGTTCTGCGTGTCTTTAGGAGGCTTGTGGGTCTAGTTTTCCTTCAGAACCAAAACTGCCCTGAACAGTGAAGTTTCCTACTAGGATTTCACAAGCTCTATTTAATATTAAATTATTATTATCAAGATCTTAAATGCTTTGTTAGCAAATACTCGTTCTTCTACATTTTCTGGTTTTTTCCTTGTTTTTTTTTCTCTGGCCATGACTGATTTGTCTACCTGGATTTCAAGGTCTCTGCTCAAAAAAGGTGAACAAGTAACAAAGACTAGAGAGACTCTATAAAACACCAACTTCAGTGTGGCAAACTTCAGAATTGCTTGGTATTGTTTTATTTTAAATAGAGTACCTGAAATTCTAGGGGAACTCTACATCCAAATTAAGAGTCTGGTCTTGCAAAACTTGCTCCCAGGTTTGGGTAAAAAAGATCCAAAGTCCACATTAAAGTTGGTGAGCTCATGGAAGTGTCATTTTCCTACACTATCAACCTTCCAGAGCTTAAAGGATCTGCATCCAGGTAACCTGGCACTGTTTGTCCTCCTGAACAAGGCTTTGTGAAGACCACTGGAGATCTGCTGAAGATCCCTGTGGAGGAACTACTGGAATCCTTAAGAATTCGGACAATAACTGCTGGGAAACAACAGCAGGTGTTCAAGAAGCCCTGCTCCAGAGCTGAGTGTGAGACCAGGAGGGACTGCCTGGCCAAAGTCATCTACGCCAGGTACGGCCGTGCCAACCCACGGGGCTCTGGTGAGGGAAGAGGGAGGCAGAGGGATTTACTTCCCCTGGCTTTCTGCTTGGATTCCATCACTGTAACCCCCCCTTCCCCTCTCAACACCCCTTCATTCTGCTGTGCACTGGCAGAGAATCCTTCAGAGTGCTGCTGTTTCGTGCCAGAGATTTCTGTTCCTTCCCAAGTGACACCGATAGGAACAGCAGGAAAAGAACTCTGCCCTGCAAGCAGCTTCCACCCAACCCCACTGTCATTGCAGGTTGTTTGAGTGGCTCGTTCTGGTCATCAATGAGAGCATCTATGCAGATCCATCAGTGTGGACCAGCTTCATAGGTATGGATATTCCATATTCCACCCTGGTTTCACTGAAAGTCCTTCAAGCTGCTCCTGGACTAAAGCTCACTGTCTTCCAACGTTCCTTCTAGGCCTGTTGGATGTTTATGGTTTTGAAGCCTTCCCTGAAAACAACCTGGAACAGCTCTGTATTAACTATGCCAACGAGAAACTGCAGCAGCACTTTGTAGCTCACTACCTGAAGGCACAGCAGGTGAGACCCCACTAAGAGAAAAAAAAAATCTAATTTTAAACCAGCATCTTTTGTCACTTGAATTGTATTTCTGTGCCTCTGGTCAGATTGCAACCTTCAGGCAGTAAGTAATGCCACAGAAACCAGTGGGATGTAACAGTGGCTTTTTAAAGAGGAGAGTGTGGGGCAGTTGGTGGAATGACACAGCTTTCTGTCTTGGGGACTGGAAATCTGTTCCTTGTTATCCAGCTCCACTGTTAAACTGTGCCTGTTAAACTGTTTGCTTTTCCTCAAAGAGCTGAACACTTTAAATTCTTGAGGTAAGTGCAGCCTAGAGATTCTCTTGGAAGCTGCTGCTCATAGCCATGTTAATTCTCTTCCTCGAGCACAGAGTCCCCAAAAGAGTTGGGAGCTCCCAGACTGAGCTCAGTGTGAAGGCAGAGCCCAACAGACCCCTGTCACCCCAACACCCACGTGGTACCTGTGGAGGCCTCGTGCTGCAGGGGAGCAGCTCCATGAACCAGCTGCTGTGTTAGTACCTGTAAAACCAAACCTCACTGTGCATCAGCTTTTGGGGTTTGTTAGGAATGCTCACAAATTGTGTTGTTTCACACTAGAGGAGGTATTTGCACCACGCTAAAGGCTCTGCAGTCCCTTGCCTCACTGGTCACACACTGCTAATTCCAGTTCTCATGAGTGCTCTGGGGGCACAGAGTCCCTTCCAGGGCTGCTCCAGTTCCCCCCCAGTGCAGCTCCATTACCACATTGCTCTTTGCCATTAACTGCATAATCTGGGAAATTATTTTCTTTATGGCACCAGCACACTGGCACCTCCTGCCTCCCAGCATGGCTTTGTCAATTTGTTCAGGAGATAAGTGTTCCTGTGACTACAGTTTGTGCTTTCACATTCCCAGGCTTTTTTTCCCTGCCTGCCCTCGTCAGTGTGCCAGGGGTTAATGGTCAGTGAAGATGGAAACCGAGTTCAAGCACACAATTACTTGCCTTGAAACTGCTCCATGACCTCTGTTTGCTGCTCCCCTCCCAGTCACTGCCTGCCCTCTTACCTCTCTGCCTCTGGCTGGGGCCCAAACCACTTAAATGCCATTAGTGGCTGTGCTGAGCAAGCTTTTGGCAGGAGACTTTTAAAATAACTGCCCAGAGCTTGAGCTTGTTAAGCACTCCTGACAGACTGTCCTGTAGTTCAGCATAAATATTGTGCAGATTATTTCAACTAATATCTTTCTGTACTTCCTCCTGGATCAGGCTTTAAAAGGAGCCCAGTTAGTAAAGCCTGGCACACAATGGCTGGTTTAGGGTTGTGTCCCAGTCTAAGGAAGGAGTTCTCCACATTCCTTGCCCTTCAGGGCAAATCTCAGCACAGCCAGGACAGGCTTTGTGTGACTGTAGCCTCTGTTCACTCTCTAAAGCAGCCTTGCAGCTCACTCTGATAAATCTGTGAGGTGCCCAAATACTCAGACAAATTGTTCCAGCAGGATCTGATCCACACTCAAAAGCTACCTGGGCAAGAATACCCTTGTTTGGGTTTTTTTTCTCATCTTGCTCTTAAACTCGAGCTGAGCTTTGGATGAGCAGCTGAGCTGGGATTAACTCATTAAACATTAACTGCATCAACTGCACAAGACACACAGTTCCAGGCTCTGGTGCCCTCTGCTGCAGGATGATCCTTTCCCTTTTCCTTCAGGAAGAATATGCAGCTGAAGGCCTGCAGTGGTCATTCATAAACTACCAGGATAACCAGAACTGCCTTGATCTCTTAGAGGGAAACCCTCTCAGCATTTTTTCCTTGCTGAACGAGGTAAGTGTGATCTAAACCCTGAACTTTTTTGGCCTAGTTTCCTGCCTTTGTCCCACAACACCAAAGAAAACATGAACAGAAAACTTGTCAGATACACAATTTCTGCAGAGCTCCGTTTTCAGAATAATCATGACACTGCTCCCTCATATTCTGAGTATCTTTCCTGCTCTGATCCTGGATGTTCTGATTCAAATACGAAGCCTCAGTTACTTCCCATCCTCCCCACCGCCCCCCCAATATTCCAGGGCTTGCATGCTGTAAAAGCAAAAAGGCTGTGATTTTAAATTGAAGTGGTTCAGCTTTCAGAGTCAGCTCTTTGTGACAAATCCTGTCTCGTTTGCAGGAGTGTCGCCTGAACAGACCCTCCAACACCGCCCTGTTCCAGACTCGCATTGAGAAAGCCTTGGCTAGTAATCAGTGTTTAAGTCGAGACAGGTTTAGTAAGAAGCCCAACTTCATCATCTCACATTATGCTGGCAAAGTCTGCTACCAGCTGGCAGCAATGGTGGAGAAGAATAAGGTAGGTGTTTTCAGAGAGAGCTGTTAAATCTTACAGACCAAATCAAAGCACCGCTAACGAGTCTCTTCAGGGGTGTGTGCTGGATGTACACACCTTGCTCCAAATAAATCCTTCAGGCCATGTATAGCTGGGTAATGTTCTTGCTCTGGTTTTCAGTCCATCACTGGCACAAACAATTCCTTTGTTAGACCTTGCAGCTGAGGATTAAGTGGACCATCACCAAATCAGGGCCTCTCCCATTCCTGGGGATGCAGAACTGTTAATGGCATCAGGGCATTTTTATAACCATAAACAGAGTGCTTCATTTCCCCTAAAAAAATCAGGTGAGTTTATGAGAAACAAGAGCATGGACTTTACTGGAAATTCTGGAAGTATTCAAATTTTGGCCTCGTGCCATCAGGGAATTAGTAAAATAGGTGATGCAATAAAACACCATCTCTTAACTAAAAGGAATACTTCTAACAGACTTTCTAATGTTTGCTGCAGACTGTCCTTTTAAACCAGTGCTGAGGCTTCTGGCTCACTCAAGCTGAATAACAAGAACAATGGAGGGAGCAGTCACACATTTGACTGGATCTGCTAAATATTCAGGCAAACATTGTTTTCTGTTCCCAAATCTGACTGTGAATGAATGGACATGGTCAGATTTGGAACTGCAGCTGTGGTGAAATCAAAGCTGGCGTCAGAAATACTGTTCCATCTATTTATGTGGAATTTTCAGTCATTTGCAGAGGTAGCAGTGTCTGCCCAAGTCCAGACTCTAACACATCATGTCTGTGTTTGCAGGATGCTGTTCCACCAGAGCTGGTCCATGTTTTGCAGAACTCTAAGGACTCTCTGCTTCAAAAATTATTTCCTGTGACAGAAAACAACCAGAATAACATCAAAACCCAGAACAGAGCACCTGTTGTTACAGTGGTGTCCAAGTTCAAGGTACATCCTCTTCAGCTTCCTGCTTTCCACTGCTGCCTCCATGACTAGATGAGAAAACAGGAGCTGGATGAAGATCAGTAAATGATGTAAAAATGAAACAGCTGTAAAACAGAAACAGCTTCAGACTCCTGATATTGTCTGGGTCTTAACTCCCTCTGATTTTACCTTTAACAGTTGGGCACCTGCCTTTTTGATGCTGCTTCTTACCTGTTCCTCTTGAGGGGTTGGTGTCAACGGATGGCCCTGCTATAATTTTTGGAAACTTTCTGAATTTACCATCAACAATTTGATGAAAGCATCCACAGAGTGGATTTTTTTTTGCTCAAGTCGTCCCTGTAGAATTGCTCTGTGTCTGTAAAGCCATCCTTGCAAAAAAACAGCTCCCTGGTTTTGACAGAAGACCCCTGATGAGCTGAGCTCCCTGTGGAGGAGCTGTCCCTGATCCCTCCTGTGTGTGTTTTGTGCAGAGCTCCCTGGAACATCTCATGCAGATTTTGAACAGGACCACTCCACACTACATCCGCTGCATCAAACCCAACGCTGACTGCAAGGCCAGGACTTTTAAAAGAGAAGAGGTAACTTTTCCAAAGCCTTTCCTCACTGAGAAGCTTCCTGGAGATGTTGTGGGGTCTTTCCATTGCAAAGCTCCTCTCACAGCACATTTTGAAATAGCTGCTTCTCCTTTGAGGCTGCAGAGATAAATCCCCCTTCAGAGTCACTGATGGTCCTTGTCCAGAACAGAACCTGTGAGCACAGCAGCTCTTCCAGGAGCAACTTATGTGTTGCTGTAGGAGAAGTTCTCTTCCCAGGGCACTCCTGGGTTATTTGGGGTGCTGCCCTCCCAGCCCTCAAACAGATGAGGGTGATCTGGAGTGCTCAGCAGCCCTGGGCACGCAGGGATCTTCCAAACAAAGCTTTCCTTGCTCCTGGAGTGCAGGACAAGTTGGATGAGACCAGCTGAGGACTTTGGGAGCAGAGCTGTAACTAGAGACCCTCATCTGATGGGAAAACAAGCAGCTGGAGTGTTGCTGCCTTGGCTTTAAACACTCATAGAATTTGCTGAGTGCACAATAGTGTTAAAATAATAAGGAGAAAATAGTATTAAAATACCCCCCACTGGCTTTTCACGTGCTGCTGCATTCGGTCAGTCAGGGTGTGGATACCCCAAGAGAGGAGCAGCTCCCACAGACAGTGTCACCTAAACCATCCCCATTTATGCCTCAGGTTCTCAGCCAGCTGCAGGCATGTGGAATAGTCGAAGCCATCACCATCAGTGCAGCAGGATTCCCTGTCAGGTGAGTCCAGACTTCTTGAGCATAACCCACTTCTGCAGCAATTAGTGGCATATTAGTTATTCAGAAGAGCTTATAAGCAAGGAAACCCAAATATTTTGCACTTTGTTTTAGGCCTCCAAATTACTGATGCTTTCAAAGCTGTCTGAGAGCTCACTGTACCTTTCCAGCCTGAGAAGCTGGGGAAGAGATGTTTTGATGTGGACTATTATGTACTAAATTTTTTCTAACTGGACGTGGCTTCACAGCAACATTTTTGGCAATTAAAATTAAATCATAAAAGGCATTTATCCAAGTGTAGACATCTCAGAGCTCAGCATCCCATCACAGCCTTGCTGGGCTTTCTTGACCACCTTTAGAGGGTGCAGAGCGAGGCCTGAGGTAGTCACAGCTCAGCACTGATGGGGTGAAGCTCATCATTGTCATATCCAAGCACAATTCCTGCCCAGTCTTTGCTACAGGCACTACTGGGAGTTTGTAGGTTCTTGCCTGTTGGTGACTCTTCAGGCATCAGTCTGTTTGCATTCCCTGCACTGGATCTCTGAAGCCATTCTGCAGTTGTTACCCCCAAAGGATAAGTTCTTTGCCACAGTGGTGACTCTTCCCTGGAATTCACTGTGTGTCTGTCTGCCAGGATCCCCTTCCAACGTTTCACTGAGCGCTACGAAATCCTGAGAAAGTCCTGTGGGCCCAGTAAAAGAAGAGTCTGTGATAAAAGCAACTCTCACACTGCTGAGGAAAAAGGTATGTTTGTGCAGACAATCCCTCTGCCATCAAGTAAAATTACCACTGCACCCATTTGATATTGCATAGATCAGGTGATTGTGTTCAGCACGAGGGACACCTCTGTTCTCAGAATACTTCTCTAATCTGTCACCAGTTGGAGTTTCTAATTTGCCTAATGCTTACAGCAGGCTCTTTTTAAAATCTTTCCTCTTATTGCTGGTTTTCTGTGTTCCTCTTGGCTGGAACAATTACAGTTACAGTGGTGTCTGGGGTTTCCCCCGCCCAGTATCATTTGATTTAGAGTTGGTTCTTTAGCAGACTTGAAAAACCTCTTACCTTTTGGCTCATGTTCCTTCTCCTTCCTTTCTTTTTTCCCCCACTTTGCTTCCTTGCTGAATCACTGACCTTCCAGCTTACCTGGATTCTGCTGCTTCTTCCACCTTTTGCAAACTTCTTTTTCTAAGCAAGAGCGAGGATGGACTTTAAAAAACACAACCCAGTCTACAAGGTAATGCCTTTACTATGAACCCCTAAAAGGAGGAGCTCGTCAGGAGGTTACATTTAATACTGAAGGTTCCTGCAACCCCCTTCTCTCTCCCCAATTAATCCCATCTTCACCCAGTGGGTCTGTTCCATAACCAGCAGGAAGCAGGACCAGTAAGTACCAGCCTGTTCAGATAAGTAAAATGTCTGGATATCCATTCACCGGCTGGAAATGGAGTGGAGGAAGGAAGTACAGGCTGGAAAATTACTTACACACTGTATCTTTCCCCCTCAATTACAAACCCATTAGCTGCAAAGCCTCTGTGTGATAGGTTCTTAGTCCTTTTTATCTTTAGGGGGTAATAAGCTGCAAACAAAGCAAAACAAATTTCCCAAACACGGGGATAAGCTTTTGGTTCCCTTATCAGCCCGGCCTCATGAACACCATCACAGGCACCAGATGTCTTCCTGTAGGCAAGAATTGCTCCTATTTGTTTTCAGTACCTTAAAATGCTCTCATCTCCTTAGAAATATTTATAGCAGAAAAGCAAACAGTATCCAGGATGGAAGGATACAAAGCCCACTGCAGGAACTCCCGCAGCATTGCCTTGAACAACACAATCTCTTTCAAGGACAGCTCTGAATTACGTCTGAATTTGCAGTTAAGATTCATCTGGCCAACCTCTTTGTCTCATGATGTAAAAAGCTGTGCACTGTGTCCCACAAATGGTTTTAATAACCTCTAATTGCTGCAATAAAGTCCTGCTCAGTACCTGACCCCGCAGCTGCTTCCGATGCCCTGGGAAGGCTGGAGACCTGTGCACAAGTTGTTTCCCCCTCCTGCACCTTTCAGTACATTAAGGCTGAGTCCAATTCCTTGCTTTTTGTTCTTTGTTCCCAGTTAAAACACCTCCCACACTGGTTGTCGGCACCTGGTGAAACCTGTGCTGTCCCATTTTACCCCACACCACAGTGAGGTTGAGTGCTCTCAGCCATCACCTCCTCCCCTCTAGATGGCCAAGAAATCTCAGTGTGAAGACAATTCCTTGGTCCTGATTTCCAAGTCTTGTGACTCCTCCTCCTCAATGCTTCGTTTCCAGGCGAGACTCCAGTGATGGATGAAGACAAAGCACCACGTTCTGCTGTTCTTGAGATCCTGCAGAACGTTGTTATGGGACAAACCACTGCTGAGCAAACAGGGAGTGGAGCAGGAACCCCCTCAGTGTACTGTGGGAAGACCAAAGTATTCCTGGCCAGTTCTGTGGTAAGTTGGCTGACGATTCTGGAGCTCACCTGCCCAATGGGGATTCTGGCACAGGTATCACCATGGTGGGGGCAGTGCTCCTGCCAAGCCAGTGTGACCAGAATTGGGCATTTTCCTTCAAATTACTCAACTCAATCAGGCATCCATCAGAGCCCAGCCCTCAGGAGCACTTTGTTTAATGGCCTCTGTGGAGCCAAGGGACAAGGAGCTGCACTTGTGTCTAGAACTGTCAGGATTCTCCCAATTCCAGGAAAGATTACAGCTTTCCTTACCTTCAGCTGACAGATTTGGCTACTCCAACTGGCCCACACAGCTTCCTTGGGGAAGAAGATGAAGGAGACAGAGGTACCTTTGCCAAGCTTGCAGGATGCAGCCATAGAAGAACCCCCTTCAGTGGAGCTGGTTTTAAGCCAGCTGCTACTGAGACCCCCCAACTACTTACATTTTTGTTTCCATATTATCTAACAAGCACTAATGGAGTGCTGTCACTTCCAACACCTAATCCAGCAGTGACAGGACACAGGAATGAGGATGTGGCTCTCTGACAAACACCAAGAGGCTGCAGAAAAGGGAAGAGTTGAGAGCACAACTCTGCCCTGAGTACTAACTGCAGGCTCCTGTCCCCACTGCAGCTGGAGCTACTGGAAGCCAGGAGAGCAGAGGTGTTAAATGAGAAAGCATTTTGCATTCAGTGTTGCTGGAGGAGGTTTAAGCAGAAGAAGTTTGCCAAGGAAAAACGGGCTGCAACTGTCATCCAAGCAGGTAACTCCACAAGGGTGTGGCTGGAACAACAGAACAAGGAATGTTTCCAGTTGTATTGGGGGATTAAAGTGGCAGGGGTGGTGAAGTGCCACCTCTTACACTGTGTGCCAGAGCTCCTGAGATTGTTTGTACTCAGCTTTGTTTCCACTGAATCCTCAGCTGTCCGTTCCTGGCTGGCCAGGAGTCAGTTCCGAAGGATGCGTGGGGCTGCCAACGTCATCCAACGTGGCTGGAGGAGATGGAAGGTGAGGGTGTGGGCACAGGGAAGCACAGGAACTCAGTCACTGAGGCTTTTTTTTTTAGAAGGAATCTCCCTCTTAGTAGTTACTACTCTGCCTCAACTAACTACAAAAGCAGCACTGTCAGTGCTCCATTAAACTCTTCTCCAGCTGGAGAACAGAGGATGCCAGTCCTGCTTCTATTCTGCAGCATAAACCCATTCCTTACCTTCATGGCAATGCCCCAAAGGGTCTGCTGCCCTTTCAGATTCCCTCCTTTTCAGACTCTTTAAATTCTGCTCAAGGTGTCTGAGAACCTCGTTGAATATTGTTCCTTATCTTCACCAGGCAAAAATGGCCGCGTTGGCAGCAGCAGAACTGGATGAGGGGGAAGGGAAGGAGTTCCCAGCTCCTGGAGCCACGGTGATCCCGGCCAAACCGCCTTGTTCCTTGGACACAGCGTGGCCTGGGCAGGCCATTGTCCAGTTCTGGCCCCTGGGCCTTGTCCTGGCTGCTGCCCCCGTCACGGCCACGGGGCCCCGCAGGGACCTGGCGCTGCTGGGCTGGCTCAGGGGGCTCCAGGACAGCGGCTGCTCCAGGCTGGAGAGCCCTTCCCTGGGCTGTGGCATCGCTTCCATCAGAGCTCTCCCACAGGTAACCACCTCACAGACCCCAGCCAGCACTGGGGAGGGTGCCAGGAGTTCAGGAATAGTCCTGGATACCATTTCCTACCAACAAGCCGCAGCCACTGGCTGCCCTCAGGAACTGCACCTTGTTACAAATCACTTTGGGGGGTTTTTTGGAAACTTTTCTGAGGTTGCATAAAATTCTGGGTGCAAGAACCGGTCACAGTTACTGCAGGTAGGCAGAAGCAGTAGCAAGTTCAGCACTAAATACTCCAATCTCCAGAGTTTAAGATAATTCCAGTTCAAATTACAGTATTGGTACTCACTTCTCTGAAATCCATTTGTACTAAAACTCCTCTGGAGGTCCTCTTCTATCCTCACAGTCACTGGTTGCTCAGAGACACTAAGCATGAACAACAAAATCACCTCAAAAGCTGGCCAGCCCCCCCAGCTGACCTCTCCACCTCTCTTCCTTGCAGGGCTCTGTCAGGTTCCACTGCAGGAAGTCCCCCCTGCACTATTCCAACGTCAGCCCCCACAGGGATGCCTGTTCCATCACGGGATTCAACCAGATTCTGCTGGACAGAAAGGAGCTCCTGCCCACATAGGCCTGGCCCCTGCACACCTCTGCCTTCAGGGAAGGGATCTCTGCAAGCTGCTGCTTTCAAATCACTCAATGGCCACTGCTGCTACCTCAGAGCTTTCACCTCCATGCCTTGTACGTAAAATACAATGTAATCTAATATAGGTCAAATTTGGGAGGTGTGGGGGCCATTCCTCCACACAGGCACATGTTACAGGAAATATCAGCACTATGAGAACAATCAACTAAACCAGATCAGGTGCTCTAAGCAATAAATACTTGAACTGAAGGCTGCTGGCACTACCTGGAGGAGCAAGAGGCTGGTCAGGAGAGAGCAAATAATGCAAATATTCCTGATTCCTGCTGGGTTCTCAGAGGTACAACCCCTCCTGACTGACCCCCAGTGTTCCCCAACACTGGCACACTTCTGACTGACCAAGGGAGGGAGGAGCAGCCAACCTAACACTGAGGGCAGATGTCTCAGGGAAAAGCAAGACTGGGCTCTTGCTTTTTTCTCTCTCTGTGACCAAAATATATGAGCTGTCACAGCTGCCAGGCGTTTCCAGAGCTCCCCAAACAGCACTGCCCTGCCCATGGTCTCATCAGAGGTGCCCTGTACCGTCCTTTTCTTGCTCATGGGTCTCGAAAATGTTCAGCTCCTCTGTGTGTGTCATTTTAAATAATCTGCTCCACGCCTTGTCAAGGTGTCTGACTGTCCCAAACAACGAACAGAAACATTTCAGAGTATTTGTCGATTAAAATAAATGCAAATATATTTAATATTGTCACTGTGAAGTAGCATTTCCCACGGTTGCCAATATTTCTGTACCAACACTGCACAGTTCAACCCCAAGTCTCTAAAAATCTCTGTCAACTCCAAATTGAAATCAGAGCACTGAAATCCAGGGGCAAAGTGACCAGAGCCTGAGGAAAGACACAGAATGGAGCAGCTCTGCAGCACAAAACCTCAAGGAAAGGAAAACGTGCTCACTCGGGGAGGATGTTCTCCTTCTCGGGAGGCTCCACAATGCTCAGGCAGCAATCTGCAAACTCCACAAACAGGGGCTCCTGCATGAACCTCCTCATGAGGGAGCTTTTGTCTTCTGCCTGGTCGATGGTGAGGAGCAGCTGCCGGAGGTGTGGGTTCAGCAGCAAACCCCTCAGTTCTTCTGATTCCCCTTTAAAAAGAAAAAAAAAAAAGATAAATAGGAGTAATCTCAAACGGTTACAAACAAAGTTAAGACCTTCCTTATTTCGCAAATAAACTTTCAAAGAGACTGGGGAAAGGCCAAATATCTGATATTTAACTCTTTAAGGCCTTGCAACGAGCTGCACGACTGGGAGCAGCTCCAAGCAGAACTCCTGGGAACGGGGAGTATTTCTGCTAAAGCCCCACCATCCCCGCACCCGGCTGACTCCCGAATTCCCAAACTCACCTAAAAGCTTGAGTTTCTGCAGCGGGACGCGGTCCTGCTCATCCTCCTCGCCCAGGATGTCCTCCAGGGACCAGGGGCCGTGTGCGGGGCTCGGCGGGGCCGCGGGGGGACCCTGCTCCCTGTCCCGCTCCCCGTCCCGCTCCTGGCTGGAACGCGGCGCGCAGCGCTCTGCGGACACACAGCGGGTCAGCCCCGGGGCAGCCCCGGCCCCGCCCGGCCCCTCCCGGCCCGTACTCACCGCGGTGGGTCCGGCAGCACCGCACGGAACAGCTGCGGGAGAGACAACGGAGCGTGAGGGGCCGGGGGGGGCCCACACCGGCACCGAGCCCGCCGGGCCCTGCCCCCCGTGCCCCCCTCGCTCACTATGTGCTGGCACAGCGCGGACAGCGGTACCGGCCCGTGTCCCGCTCCCTCAGCCCCGTCCCCTCGCTCACTATGAGCTGGCACAGCGCGGGCAGCGGTACCGGCCCGTGCCCGTCTCCCCGCACTCCCCGCACGGCCCCGCCGCCCTCATGGCCGCCCCGAGCGCGTCCCCCAGGCTCGCTAATCCACCGCCGAGCGCGTCCCCCAGGCTCGCTAATCCACCGCCGAGCGCAGCCCCCCAGGCTCGCTAATCCACCGCCGAGCGCGTCCCCCAGGCTCGCTAATCCACCACCGAGCGCAGCCCCGCCCGCTCCGGGAACCGGGATTATGTAGAAATAGAGATGGAAAATGTTGATGTCTAGAGATATCAGCAGATATAGAGAGAGATAGAGACATCTAGAGAGATATAGAGAGATTTACAGATATATATATAAAATCTATAGATATATATAGGTATCTACAGATATATAGAGAGATATTAGGTATTTATATATAGATAGATTTCTATATTATATAGAAATAGAGATGGAAAAAGGTGGACGGATAGAGATATATAGAGATATATATAGAGAGATAGAGATATCTAGATATATATAGAGAGAGATCTATTGACATATAGAGATATCTATAGATATATACAAGAGAGATCATATATATATATAGAAAGATATATTTGCAGATATCTAGAGAGATGTATCTACAAGTATATAGAGAGATAGAGATGCAGAGGCAGAGAGAGATCTACAGATATATAGAGAGGTACAGTTATATATCTCCAGATATATAGAGAGATTATATATGGGGGGGAGAGAAGGAGGGAAGTGGAGAGAGTGAGAGAGAGAGAAATTAGGTAGTTGTACAGATATAGAGAAATACAAGATACAGAGAGATATAGACATATACACAGATACATCTATATATAGAGAGAGATAGATATCTAAAGTTACAGAGATCCCGACCCTCTGGAGGGCTCTGGCAGGATCCCAGCTGTCCCCTTGGCTTTCCCAGTGACACATCAAGTGTTCTGCTCCTGACGTGTCACCTTCCCAATGTCAACATGGAAGTGGATAAAAAAATTACACCATATAGCAAATATCCCATCAAAAACCACCCCGGGTCGATCTTCACCATCTCCCCTGTGGGAAGTTTTGGTTGAACCTCCTGTTGTTAAGTTGAGGGTGAAATACAGATGTTCAGGTTCCAGCCAGACCCTTCTCAGGGCTGGGGGTAGTGGAGTTCCCAGAAGTCCCTGACAGAACAGCAGTGCTCCAAAATAAAACAAAAAAAAAAAAAACAATGGAGAAAAGAAATTATCTTACCTGAGTTACATTATCCATTTAAATAATTCATTTTAATTCTGTGTCACTTAGGGCCATCCATTTCCTTAAATATCTGAATTTCAATTCAGACAAAAGAAATATCCCTGGAGCTCTTCAATGTGATGAAGCACAGGAAAGGGGTTTGTCAGCAATAAAGGGAACCACTGAGCATCAGATTTGTTAATGTGATGGCACTTCCCAGTTCTTACATTAGGGGGTGAACCCATTTCTTACCCAAAACATCTCTTTTCTCATACCTGGCCAGGATCAGAGCAATGGGATTTTCCCTTAGTTCACTCAAACCTTTTGAAGTGGGGAAAGAACAACAACAACAAAGCAAAGAAACTGGAAACAAATCCCTGGAAGCTCCAATCTGTGCTGGAAGGGCTGATTTGGGTTGGACTGTGCGTGTGATGAACGTGAGAACATCATCACTGTGTGGATTATTGATGCCACTTTATTGGTGTCCCTTGATGAAACACCACAGAGCAGCATCTGAGAGCACTTTAAAAAACCAGCAAGGTGGGCTGATGTCACCAGATCTGTTAAAACCAGGCTTCTGGTCGGGGCAAGAGAAAATAAACCTGCTTTGGCTCAGGCAAGAGATCAGAAGTTTGAACTCTGAGATTCTTCTAGAACATATCCCTGTGTAACTAAGAATAAACATCCACCTCCACTAGGATCTCAGGAAACAATATCTACTAAATAAGTAATAAATATTCAGGAGCCAACTTTCCTTTTTTTTCTTTTTTGAGAGAGAGGGAGTAAGACCTTTTCCTTTTACAAAATACTTGGTCTTGACATTTTTATTTTGTTTTGCACAGTCAACTCAACTTCAGTTCTGATCCTAAAGGATCCAGCCAAGGTTGTCACCTGGAACAGCACAAATTTCACAAGCCATGGACTCGAGTGTGCCTCTATGAGCAGAAATATGAAAGATGTAGCCACAAATGTCTCACAAAAACATGTAATCCAGCTACACACTGCAGTTAAAATTACCCCAGGAAAACAGGGCTGAGTGCCCTGTTAATAAAGATTCATCCAACAGTCAAAGAGACAATTTGACTGAGTGTAAATGAGAAAGTAAAATGACAATTTCCCCCAGACTGCTGAGAATTTTCCAGCCGTTTAACTGCCTTCAAAGCCATACAGACCACTCAACAGGGATGGGAGTCTGGGCAGCGAAGCGAGCGCAGCAGCAGCACAAAGTAAACAGGGCTAATGGAGTTATTTTTATCTCCAAGGAAAACAGCTCCCCTGCTCCCAGCTGGAGGCAACACAGACCAGGGGCACACACTGAGCCACTTCCCCAAGGAGAGCCAGGCAGCACAGCTCCTCGCTGCTGAGGGCTTTGGGAGACACAGAGTCCAGCCCCCCTCTCAGGGCTGCCCGTGCTGGTTTCTGCACCCCAACACCTCCCCCTCGCTGGGTGCTGAAGCACCTGGGCTTCAGGAATGGAATCACAGGAAACAAGGTTGGAAAAGACCTCTAAGATCAAGCCCAACCATCATCCCACCACTAAACCGTGCCCCCCAAGTGCCACATCCATGTGTTTTTTGAATCCCCCTGGATGTGGAGTGATTGCAGAGCTCTCCCTGGCTCCGCTGGGCAGGTCAGGCAGTGCTGCAGCAGGGGCAGCCCCACCTAGATGTGCTCGATGGCACAGGCTCGGACGCTGTTGGTGGAGAGGCACTTGAGAGCCTTGAGCTTGGCCCCCAGGGTTTTGAGCTTGAGGGTGTAGATGAGGGGGTTGCCCAGGCAGTTGATGGTGATCAGCATGGCCGTGCAGTTCCTGAAGATGTAGACGCCCGGGTAGAGGTCGACGTGGCACCGGTGGTTGGTGGCATCAAAAATGACCCCGGCGAAGAACGGGGCGTAGGAGATCAGCGCCAGCAGCCAGATGAAGATGCTGGTCCTGGCCACCTGGGTCTCAGCCGATTTGTAGGTGCCGGTGGCTTGCCCACACGCCTTCATCCTCAGCTTCCTCCTCCTCAGGATGATGATGATTCTGAGGTAGGTGAACAGAGGTATGATAAAGGCCACCACAAAGTTGGGGATGGTGATGAAGAAGAGGTAGTTGACGCAGAACGGGCTGTAGAGGACCGAGACGCTCTTTTCCCTGTGCAGGCAGTTCCACCCCATCAGTGGCAAGCAGCCCAGAAAGAAAGCAAGGACCCAGTTGGTGAAAACCACGGCTATGGAATGGTTTCTGGCAACCCTGAATCTCGTCCTCATGCTCTTGGCCACAGCCAGGTACCGCTCGACCCCGATGCTCACCAGGTTGTAGATGGTGGATAAAATGGACGTCGTGTACAAGGCGTAAGGGGCGAGCATGTCCTCGGACCCAAAGATGGTGATGTCGGGGTTGGTGATGAACAGCGTGGAAATCCAAAAGCCAGAGAAGCTGGTGAAGAGATCAGAAACAGCCAAATTGCAGAAGAGGATGGAGATGGGCTTGTGCAGGTCCTTGGTGGCCAGGCGGGTGAGGATGACGGTGCAGTTGAAGAGCACGGACGCCACGTTGATGGTCAGCTGGGGGATGCCCAGGGCAAGCACCAAAGAATGACTCCAGATGTTTGTGTAGTTAGCAGAGCAGTTTGGAAATCCATTCATGGTGGAAAATCCTCCTTTCAGCTCTCAACCAGGTCGGCTTCACTCATCCCATACTCCGTGAGAGACCACACCACACGAGAGCTGCTGCCACCTCGTTCTCCAGGTGGGGAATGGACCCTGACGCACAGCTTCTGTTGCCACATCATCATCATCATGACAGTGGATTAAACTTTAACCACGTGTGGTATTAAATATTTGGGTTACCACCTCAGGGCATCACCAATTACCCTTCAGTTGCTAGGACAGCCCGAACTGGAAAACATATTTGTTGCTACACGGATGAGCTGCTGAAAACAACCTCTGCCAGCAGGGAAATCTGGCCAGATCTTGAGAGGATGAATGATCACAGCAGTAGTTTAAAATTTTTTAAAGATAGTCTAAAATGGAATTAATGTGAATTCAGTGTTAACTCACCCATAAATTAGATGATAAAGGATTAGAGAGTCAGGAAACAGAGAGCAGGATATTCTGGGTTTGGAGTGGGGAGTGTGTGGCTGATGGAGCTGAAATAAGAACATCAGTGCTGGGTCACCAACCTGGCCCTCAGCTCCTGCCTAAGCAGTTAGGAAAATGCCTTTTTTCCACCTTCATTCCTAGATGAGAATGTAGCTAAACAATAGCAGACATCACTACTCATGCTCATTACAGGATATTTTGTGTTTATTTAATGTGTGACTTGCACATTAATAAACCAACACCAATATCATTATATCTTTTCTTTCTCTATCTTTGTAAAGGCAAATGATTTTTGAGAACTGGATTCAAAATACTTGAGCCTTGGAGAAAAAAAGCCTTTGGGACACACATTCCATGCTCTCAGCAGAGGGCACTGCTGGAACAAAATACGAGGTTTAGTGGGAACAGGGAGATTTTAACCAGCAGAGCAGTTCAGGTGAGCAGTACAATTACCCAGGTAAAGCCATGCTATGTCCGAATTTATTCTGATTTAATTCATTTCTCACTGTCATCCTAAAAAAGGATTAATTTCCATGAGTAACAATTTTATACTGTGATACTGCCAGGCAGCACAGCTGAGTTCACGGGCTTTCCACATCCAGCACTGACATCTGATCATTGCAGCAGCAATTCCAGCTCTAGAGCAGGAAATCTGTGAGCTCTGATAGCTCTGCCAAATTTAAAACATCAGAAATTCACGCTAAAGTGTGGAGCTTGAAAAGGAAAATTCTAGGGCTTCTTTTTTCCTATTGAAATGTATAAAAGTGTATTCAGGTTAGTATACAATAATTAAGTACTAGAAATACTTTAAGTATTTCAGGTGGTCACACAGAAATGCAAAGAATGATTATATAGAAATAAGGGCTGCAAAATGACGGATGAAGCCCGTGGATGTCTTAACATCCTATAAAATATTCTTCTCCCAGTGTCCCAGATAAACCATCCTTTGTGCATCCTGGAACCCTCCCTGTCAGCCACACCTCTGGTGTGAGGTTGCTGCTGAACAAGGGCTCCACTATTTCTGTCACCTCATCAGTGCCAACACCTCGAGTCAGCAAATCCTTTCAATGATCTGAAATGCTGCAGATATTCCTGAAAATGCTACTTGAAATTGCTCTAATTTGAAAATTTGGCGTTCAAGCACTAAGCACTAAACGAAATGAGATCGGAATGTAATTAAAATAATATCAAGTAGTACAAACAGCTCTTCACAAAAGCTTTGTAATCTTATTTCCCTAATAGAATTACATAAAAATTAGCATAATGTTGCTAGATTAAGGGAGACAATATTAGTGTGGAAACTGCTTTTTTTAGTGGGCTTTAACATACAGAAACCCCCAGGTTTGTGCATTCCAACCCTCTGGGATACAGCTGGAGCTCTCAAAATCAGATGAAAACTACTTTGAATTGAAAACTCAGAGGCAGAGCTGCTACACATCCAAACCTCTGCACATCACAACCTCAGTTCAAGGGCATTTTTCTACTCCCATATTCCAGGAACTGTGTGATCTTCCTGGTACTTACCTCACTCTGCATCTTCAAGGAAAGAGTGTTATCTACATCCCATAAACGGGAAAGAGCAATCACATTATTTGTTTAAGATCCCTCAGAAGTCCAGAGAACCCAATCTAATCTCCAGTAGCTCAGGCTGACACCTCAAACCCTGGCTGTACCATGCTGTTGGCAGCCTTTGATTTATAATTATCTAGACCTCGCCTTCTACAACATTTTTTAGTTCTAGAATTGTTTTTCTTTTAGTTCTATGATTGGTTTTATATTTCTATATCTGAATGTCTGAATTGGTGTTATTTTGATACACATCATGTGTTAAGAAATGGCCTTATTTTGTAGAGAATCTCCAAGTTCAATTATAATTACCTGATGATTGTGCCTGTGGAGAAGAAAATAATCACTGAACACGTTGAAGAGATGAAGAAGGAGACATGAGAAGCTTCAGGTGGAAGTTTTAATGATGATTCAAATGGCTGTTGTGGGAAATGCATCTTCACCCCCCTCGGCTCAGTCTCAGAACTGCTCACAACTGCAGCTCTCAGGGATTCTCAAGGGCTCAGGACAACAGGTCCCAGCTGGGACATTCCCAAGTTGATCTTAAACCAGGAAATTCGGTCCAGGAGCCGAGTCCCAGCTCTGCTCAGTAACCCTTGGACAATAGACACACTTATCTTGGTGTGATGCAGAGCAACCTTTGTGCTGAGAGCACTCTGAGGAACTGAGTTATGCCTGAAACTACAGGAGAAAAAGCTGCATCCACGTCATGAAAACAAGAATCCCACAGCACAGGGAGTAGAAGGTGAGCTGCACATGGTTTGGTGTCACCTGCAAGGTCATGGACACACATTATACACACAGGAACAACCAGGCACTGGGAGGATGAGGGATTCCACTGTCCTGGTTTCTTCCCTGTCGCATTCTCCCTGAACTCACAGTCAATTCCTACTTGTTCCTAACTCTCCAGCTCTGCACTTTCACAACAGATAATACTTTACCTGAGCCAAAAAGTGGCCAGTGCCACCCTGCTCAGCTGAGCATGGAGGCAGAGTCACTCCATGGATCCAGGGGTCACTGCCATGACCTTCAGTGAGAGCAGAACATCCACCTGCTCACTCTCTCAGTGGCCATCACGGGGCCTGCAAAGAAGAAACAGTCATGAAGGGGAGTAATACAAATAAGGAGCCTATTTATCCAGTTTATGTTTAAATTTATGCAGATTAAAGTCTTCCTTTCTGGAGAGGAAGGCACAAATGGGATGTATGATCTCCTTCCAAGATTTTTCTGAGATGTTTTGAAAACAGAGAGCTCTGCTCCTCCCCCACCCTCTGTCTTTGAGGAGTTTTTGCCTCACGGGTTTGGAGTTATCCATGGCCCTCACCAGGCACATGAAGTGAAGATAATCAGATAATCATCAGGCTTGAAGTCTCTGAATGCTGTTCAGCAGCACATTACCAACAAGCCACAAAATATTGGCAAAGTTGGTTTGTTGCAAGGATATTCCCCAAACCAGACCCTTTTCCCCTTTATCCATAGCCAGAACGTCTCTCTCAGATGCCAGAACTGGTATTTTCACCTTTTGGGAACTTGCATTGTCCTGTCTAAAAGGAAACAAACAGGAATAAATACCTAAAACCAGGTGTATGGCAAGCAAAGCCTTCCCCTGATCATTTAGATGTGAAGAAGCCAGAAAACATCTTATCCCTGCTCCTGAGTATTCCATGGAAACGACCTTGTGCTTGTTCCCAATGGAGCAGACTCGGGGAGGATCAGAGCCAGCCCACGTTCCTCGTGGAAGATGAAGGCCCAATGACTGTGATTCACCAAGAGCTGTGAAATTCCAGATTCCCTGTTCAGTGGTGTGGGAACTGTAACGAATAAAATGGTAACACACAAGTAACTAAAGAGCACTGAGCGTGTTTTCTCACACACAGGATGGGGTTCCCATCACAAAACTCATCTGGGTTTGAAGTCTCTTGGAAGTGCTTCCCTCTCCCATCACAGGGGCGATTCCTCCTGGGTAATTTGTGACCAGGATTTGGCCCCAGGCCAGTCTGACCCTCACAACCCTTAGATCTTCCTTCTAAGAGCAACAGCTCAGCCTCCAGCCCGAAGAGCTGAGCCACAGCCTGGGCTTTGAGTCTCTGATGCCTTTTTGGCACAGATTCAGCCCCAGCCAGCCCTCATCCCTTCTGCTGGGACATGGGATGCAGCCCCTCAGCTGGAGGGCTGGGGACAGCTCTGGCCTCCCTCCCCTCAGCACATGGTGGGATCCTGTGGCTCAGACTCGTGAAAGTCCCATGCACCACCACATCCCTCCCCAAATTCCCTTGGGAGCAGCAGGATGACGTCAGACCTCACACGTTCCAGAAACCAGGCTGGGGGAACATCCCCAAAACCTTTGTTGCTGTGGCTCTCGAGGCAACAAAATAAATGCAGTTTTCACTGGTTTTGGTGTTCCCACCTGCCCTGTAGCTATGGACACAACTGCAATAATTCTGCCAGGAAAAACCAGCCTGGAGTTCAGTGATCTGCTGTCACCTCCCTGCTTAACTTTGAGTGTCACCTTCTCTGACCCAGATCCTCACACGTCTTTAGGTTCAATGTCCAAAACCAACTCACAGAGTAATTCCTTTCAAAATTATCCCAAGGTGCAGCACTGCCATGGAGAACTGATAACCAAGTACCTGCCAGGTGAGTGAGTTTCTTTAGAAAAAAATGAGGAGATCACATGATGTCTACCCTGCTTATTTAGATGACAGGCTTCATAAGGAGAGGGAATGTCTTTCCCTGAGTGTGCCTTCACTTCCTGGCACAAATAAAAGCTTAGTTGATATGATTGCAGTGCAATTTATTGTCACTTTAATAGTGATAGGCTGAAGTGCTTGGGGGGGGGGGGGAGAGGGAAAAAAAAGGAAAAAAAAAAAAGGGAAAAAAAAGAAACAAACCAAGAATCCTGATTTTTTAAGATCAACATTTCTAACCCTATTTTCAGTCCTGAATGGAGAGTTTCTAGCAGGCTTTTAGCTCTCAGAGAATTAACAGGAACAGAGTGAAAAAAATCCATAAGAGTGTCCTTTCAGGTCGCCACTGAGGACCATCCCCGGGAGTGAAGTGTCTCGTGGATGCCCTGGAGGGCTGACAGCACCTGACCCCTCCCTGCCCTACGTGCTCAGAACTCACCTTGCTCCCGGAGCTCCGCCGGGACCGCGCTCGGAAGTGAAAAAATGCCACTAATTCCCGTATTGTTCTTGTCACTGCAGCAACTATTTATCTTATCACCATGTGCTAGGCAAATCATCCTCTGTGCGGGCTCTAACTGCCTAGAGCAGGATGGAAAAACACTCCCCAGCAGCTCTTCATTGTTGGGGGGTTATTTATAGCCGAGTTTTTTTATGAATAAAAGAGCTGCTCGTGAGTCAGCTGTGCCGGTGTTATTGCAGGTCCTGAGCCCGTGCCACCCTTCTGCTGACAGCACAGCCTTGCTCTGGGAGCTGCAGCTCTTGGGGAAGGCAAAAAGCACTTTCTTGGCTCCTCGTTTTTTAATTCAGCCCTTGCTGGATGACTCTGCACGCTCAGATCTGCTGGCACGGCATTGCTTCACTCCATCCACCCCTTCAGGGAGAAGCTGTGGGTCGGGCATCCTGCTCTTCTCCCACCCAACCAAGCGTGGACAGAGAAGCATCTGGGGAAGGGGAAGAAGTTGTTTCACTCCCTCATTTGTTTTCCTCAGCTGTATCAAAATCCAAACCCAAATTAAAAGGTGACACAGTGTCTATAGCAGAGCAAAAAGTAGTTGTGTCGCTTTTCTGTTTGTTGAACCAACACTCTGAGCTGCCACTGAATCAGGCATGTGGAATTAAAAAAATCAGATAGGAAAGGGGACAGAAAAAAATGTCTGTATATATTATACTATAATAGCAGAAGCAGATAATTAAGAAAAAGGATTATTAAAAAAAGTACCATTCCTTAATTACGTAAGTAAGGTGCTGCATGTCACCTAATAAACATTTCCTGTCACTGCACACAGAATTCCCATTTTCCAGTTCCTCTAATCTACTGCAATCCTGAGGAGCTGTTTGCAGGGTTGTGGGGTGGGGATGGGGGCAGTTGGGGCTTTATTTGTTTCATAGGGTTTTTTTTAAAAAAACCACCAACTTTAACACACATGTTAATTAAATGTCATGGGGGCTGTCAGGAAAAAAACTACCCCTAAATAAAAACGCAGCATTTCAGCAAGAGGTCACTAAACATGCACAGGTTGCAAAGTCTCAGTTATTCACTAAAGGCTCAGTGCCAAAGAGCCTCATTCCCTTTGCCATTCATTTTGGAGAATGAATAAATTTAGGCAAATCAGGAGCGGGGTAAATCTGGAGAAATTACAAAGGGGAGGAGTTCACCTTCCTGCCATGGCTTTCAGGTCTGTCCTGGAGTACTTACTCCAGTATAAAACTGAGAGCAGAAATATGATCACGTCCTGAGGAGTCTAATCAATTCTGGTTCCAACACTGAGCCTGTTTAAAACAGAGAATGGAATTGCTGTTCCTTGCTCTGTTCTCTCTGCACATTCTCAAGACAGAGGCAGTAGGTAAGTCCTTGCCTGCTCTTTCTAACCCTGTGTTAAGGTTATTCTGATTTCTGATTTGTTTCTGAGTGTCAGGACACACAGCACAGGCTCTCTGATTCTTCATATGGTAAATGAACAATGATTTATTTATTTCTCTGTGTTTTATTATTTGGGGTAAAACATCAAGTATAGGCTTTTCTCATGAATGAATGAGTGCTTTTGGGTTGTTTTGGTTTTTTTTTTTTCACCTTTAGAGATTCTATCTGCCTTCCTCTTCCAAGGAAAATCAATGAGGTTTGACTAGATCTCTACAGCTAATTAGACATGTGCATTTATATCGAAACATGATTTCTTTACCTGTAAAACTCCTTAAAACTTAAAGCAAATAGCTTGTTTTGGTTTTCCACTCCTATTGCTTTGCTGTTTATGATATAAGGTGAAATTCTGCTGAGAGAGAGTGAACAATATGTCTTTGCTGCATCAGCCCAGCAGCCCCATCTATTTTTGCTCCCTGGGCACCATAAGTACACTGAGCACTTACCATGGCTCGATTAAACAGTGATCTATAATTAGTATTGAAAAATGCAGAAGGCATTTTTACGCTTCTATTTAATCAGCGATGCTGCAACACTGAACAAATCCCCTTTCCTCTGCACACACAGGCACACAGCCCCAAAATTAAACCCTGCAGCTCTTCAAAGCGAAGAAGGGTCTATTGTTTGCACTAAACTAGACCAGAGTGCAGGGAGGGAAAGAGAGCTCTGGTGTTATCAGAGGTGTCGGGGGAAGCACCGACAGTGGCTGAAGGGAGATGCTTTTAAAGCAGATCAAGGTTCAGAGACTTCAGGTGACAGAGGTGCACAAAGTGCCTTCAGGAGCTCAGTCTGAGCACTGGGGAAACTGAGGGGCTTTCCCTGATTTTATTTCTCTGTTCTTAATTAATTCTCCATGGCTCAGGAACCTGCCTTTTCCAGGCTCTTACCTGAGAGTCCCGATACCTTCCCTCTCCTTTAGTCCCTATTTCCCTCTTTCCTCAGTGTTCTGTTCTCTCTCCAGAGGTTCCCTCCCGTGGTACAGGTAAACACAAACACAAACAGCCTTTGCTTTTCCAAAGTCTACAATGAGTGTTTGCTTGCTGTTGATCACTGACTGATTAACACTTTGCTAAATTTGCTGCTCTGTTAAGGGATGTATTATGGAAACTTGAATGACTACCTAGAAAACCTTTGTGATTTTATATTAGGTAAGTGTTAATAATTAATGTTTTAGCAGATGGAAGTAATACAGGGGATGCATATAACATTTTGTGGGTGTTTTTTTGCCCTAATCCTGATTAATTCCACTTTTTTCCCCAAGTGTAGAGCCAAACTACACAGTTATTACCACAAAAGGAACCTGCTATCCCTTCCACCTTCTTTTCCAAACTTTTCCTGAAGTAGAAGCTTCACAGGATACATTATGCCAAGTTAAAGGCTGCACATTTCACGAAACCTCAACTTCTGAGAATCAATTACTTCTTGTTATACTCAGAAAGTATCTTTTCTAAAAAACCAAACATTTCCTTTCCATCTTGCCCCTTTTCAGAACCAGCTTGAGTGAGATCCCCTGACCAGCTCATTTAAGTCACCTCCACCTGGGCTGTTCTAATCTGGGCAGTTCATCACTCCCCACACTTAAACACTCAAATGACTGATTGCTAATCTTTCAAATTGCTTTCAGCCTTGACCTGTCTTAATATTAAAGCACCTGGCTTTTAAAATTACTACTAATAGCACTTCCAGGGTTTTGTAAGGAAGGAAAATTCATTATCCCCATTCTACAAGAGGGAAACCAGGGCACAAAGGTGCACTCACCTCACCTGGAAGAGAAACAATCTCCCTTAAAGCTCTGTCCAGCCTCACATCCACTGACTTATACAGGTCTCAGTATATTCCTTTACCAGCTGCACTGCTGCACCTCAGAAGGATGGTTTGATTCCTTTGAGAGCCCAGGGATCTGGCGCTGCTGTTGGGCAGAAGAGAGGCCAAAGGTCTGCAAATTCCAGTAGGAAAGTTCCCAATATTTGAGAGAGGTTTTATTAATGGTGGATTCATTCCAGGACCATTCAGAGAGCAGGAATATCCATCCATTCATCCATCCATCCAGCAGCTTTCAGGTGGGGTTAGAGCAAGCTCCAGGTGTTACTGAAAATAATTTTCTTCAAGAGGAATGGAATGAACCCCAGCACATTTTAACTTTTTACTTTATCACAGAGCAGGGCTCAGCCATGAGGAGACAATCTCCCACAGTCCATGCTCTGGTGCTCCAACAGATTGTTACCTGATAGAACATGATTCCTCTAATTTTCTATATTTCTGCTCACATACTTTCAACTTTGAGGAACATAAAATTTACATAACCATGCGGATATGGACGTCAGCTCTCACTCTGGGGCTTCCTCAGGGCCATTCAAGTTCAAAAGATACCCAAAAGCCCCATGAACAGCACAAAAAGGGATGCTGTAACTTCTTCCCTTTCCAGTTCTGATGGTGTGGACTGCACACACATTGATGGTTGCATCCCAAATCCGTTTGAGGGTTGGCAAAGTTGGGATGCTGCTGCACTTAAGACACACTCTGGGATGAAAAGCTGCATTTTTAGTTGATTAAGAAAGAAGAAGAAGAATAATTGCAGTGCAAGACCTGGAACAGAGAGAAAAGGCAGTAAGTCATAGCTGCTTTAGGCAGTGATCCACAGGTGCTTTAGGAGGTAGGGATTGCCTGAATTTCCCTCTCTCCACCACTCTAACCAAGCACACGAGTCAATACAGCTGACAAGCTATCACTGACATTATCCCAAAGTGGCTGCTCGACTGTCTCAGTGCAGACAGGCTTCTGATCTCAAGGAAGGGTCTTTATGCTTAGGGCTTTCTTCTCTTCCTCCCTGGCAACTTTCAGGGTGCCAAAACACATGTAAAGGTTTATCTGAGGATTGTCATCACAGGCAGCTCCCCTGTGTGCTGGGGATTTTGACAGGATACTGGGGGTGCACTGAGAGTAAGAGACTCCCCCTGTTTCATTTTGGGGGACAGAGAACCAAGCCCAGCAGGCAGAACACAGCCCTGTGTATCACTGGCAGGATGCTAAAAAGCAATTCTGAGACAGTAGGAGAGTCATATATGGGATTTCTCACATTTCTGCAGCCTGCCAGGTGTGACATCAAGATATATCTGTGTTGCATGACTGGGTGACTTTGTGTCAGACCAGGAGAGCCTTGAAGCCCTTCCCAGCATGGGGTTGGGAAGGATGTGTGCTGTGCAGACATGGCTTGCTGAGATCCACATTCACCACAGATCCCAACCTGCCCTCAAAGAATTACCCCTGGAAGGTTTGAAGGCCACCTCTGCTACCTCCCTCAGGAATGAATCCCACACTGCCCCCACCCTCACACACCAGGGTGGATCCTGCTCTGTTTGATCCATGCTGTGCCTAAGGCAGCACATGGATATGAGGTGCCTCACTGGGCATCAAGGCTCTACTCAGCTGATGCATCCAAGGGCATCCCAGTTGCCAATCCAGCCTCTTTGTTCCCTTCCTTGCAGCCTGTTCCTGGTGACACATCAGGAATGGGCAGTTTTCCAGGGACACAGTGGCCCCAGTCACATTACTAATACTGCATTTAGGGATCAGCCTGAGGAGCAGGAGAACACTCCAGACTCATCAATTTGTGTGAACAGGCTGGAGCTGACCTCATGCAGGACTGCAATGTGCTGCATCACCTCCTCCTTCGCCAGCATCCAAGATTCCAGGGCTCTGTCCTGCTGCCCTTCAGCTCTGGGGGAAGGACAGGAGCGTGGCAGAAGCCCCACACAGCAGCCACACCCAGGTGACAAGTGACATGACCCCAGCTTAAGAAATAAATACTCTCCTTTCTCCTACAGCAAAAATATCAGCATAAGGACTGGAACATCCCTTTCCTGCTGCCAGCTGGGCACTGTGATTCTTAAGAAAACTGGAGCCGCCTTTTCTCCTGGCTCTTACACTGAGATCTTGAAGATTGGAATCAGAAAAGCATTTTCAGAGACAGGTGCTGCTGTGAGACACTTTTCCCTCAGCTGCCCAAATAACCAGCAAGAGCCTTTAGGTGTTCAGGACATGCTGCAAAGTCCAGTGCCTGTCTCCACAGGAACAGGCTTTTTTTCCCCTGTTTTTGGCACTGCAGGAGATGCTTTGTTATGTTGCAGAATATATCTAATGGCCTGTTATTAGATTTTTAGTTATATTTTTAGCCATAAGATCAGTCATCATAAACTCAGCATAAAAGACTGCAAAAGGACAGCAAAGCCACAAAGGGGTTTGTTTGAATTTTATTTTAAAAATACTTCAGAAAAATTCTGAATTGTATTTTTATGAAACAAAGCAAGGCAAAATCCCTCACAGAGGCCAATCACCTTAGCCCTTGATACTCCTTTTTTTTTGTTAAAGATCAGCTTCTGTCTTTGTACAGCACATTTATGAGGACACAGATCTATGACAGAGGCTACCCCAGTATCACAGGTCACAGCTAAAAACGTTCTCCTGGCTCTGACACAAAGGAAGTGGTTTGCAGATGTTAATAAGGCACAGTCAGAATCCTTCACCCTCTGGGTTTTTGCTTTAGTTTATGTGTGTTACAAAGACCTCACTGAGCCAGTGATTTATGTGTACATGTGATTTATGTGTACACGTGCAAACTATAAACACTGTGCTCAAATCAGATGTGGTGACTTGTAATGTTTCACCACTCCAATAAAGCCCATTTTCAAGGCTAAATCCCCTTTAAATACCTTGGAATGTACATGCATAAAGATATATATCATTATGAAAACCAGAATTCCAGGTAAAAGTGAAGAGAAGAGCGATGGATGATGACAAACACTTGTTTTTACAAGGTTAGGATACACAAATTCAGGAGTAAGCACTTGGAACTGATTTTGTCTGTCAAAGTGGCTGATTGGGGCTTCCTGAGGATGTGTAACACTTAAGAATGTATAAATAGGCTTATCTATACATGCTGAGCTTGTGGTCAGCATTCTCATTAATTATAAAGACAGATAACAACTGCTTTTAAGTTGTTTTGTCTTTTATCCTAAAAATAGTAAGTTTTACAAAGCCTGCTAAAATTAGGACGAGCTCAACACAAACCAAAGCTAAAAATACATCACGTGCAAAATCAGCTTTTGCCACTTCCATGGAAAATGCTGCAAAGGTGACAGCAGATTTTGGGATGGATTTGAAAACTGTGGATTATAGAGCAGTAAGGAGAGCTCTGGCACTGAGGGCAGCCTGGGCTCTCTGAAAGGGAGCAGTGCAGACACACTGACCCATGTGTCCCAGAGAACAGGGAATGGTCAGCCAGGAGGTGGCTGAAAGGGTGACAAGAGGCTAAAGGGACAAACAAAGGAGTCAGTGAGTGAAAGGGAGAAGGGATTTGAACTAAAGAGCAGCACAGGATATTCTTGCTGTCCCACTCCTTCTGGCTGCTTGCGGCATTAATGTCATTTGTGCTTCAAGAGATTAAATCCAGTTAATAAAAACAGCGGTCAAATGTAAAATTCATGACTTTCAGCCACTTTGTCAGAGGGACAAAACCTGTTTTAGTGAGTCTTTTGTGCATGTGAACAAGTTAAGAGGGCATTTTGGGCCCCCAGAACACACCTGTCCCACGGCACTCACTCCGAGATCGGGCTCCGCGGGTCCAAGTAGGGCAGCAAACAGGCAACAAGTAGGACAAAGTAGATTTAGGAACTTTTATGGAATTCAGGCAATCTGAGCATGGTCCAAAGAGCTTAAGGGTCTTTTCCTAGATCACACAATAGCGGCTTGGCAGCTGCTCCCAGCCTGGCTCCCAGCCAGCAGCGCTGTCCGGCCGCCTGCCCGGCTGAACAGAAGAGGGAGTTCTCGACGGGGGGAATTTTCTGCCTGGAGCTTCCAAACGAGGCCTGATAGCTAAAACAATTGAAAACGTTTACAATGAAATGAAAACAATACGTAATTGTATTGTTTTCCAGCTATTCCCGGTGCCAAGAAAACGGCTTTGGTCAGGAAACCAGTTGTAAGTTTGACAAGGAAGAAACAGAGATAAGTAGGATTGCTCGCTTGCCAAGAGAGACTCCCTAAATTTAACTGTCCTGAACTCTGGGGAGGAAGAGCAGGCCTTCAGCACAGTTCAGCCCTACTCTAAATTAAACCTGTAAAGTCAGTGTGACACCTATGGTGTGGTACATCACTACTTAAATCAAGGATCCATAACACAAGGTAAAAGCAAAATATAGTTGATAATACAGTAACTAGGTCCAAGTGTGTGTGTGTGTGTATATATATATATATAACTGCAATTATTTCAGCACCTCAGCTATAAAAACAAAGAAACAGAAAATAAACACTGAAACACTGAAAGACCCACTTTCTGCTGCGTTTCTCCAGGCAACAAAATAAATGACAGGAAAGAAACTGGGTGAGCTGAGGAGGTTTGACTGAAAGAGCAGTCAGGTGAGAGGAGAGCAGGGTGGGACCTGACAGGTACCCAGGCCCTGTAAGAAAGGGGGCTCAGAGGAAGAGGGATGAAGGATTTGGAAGTTGAAATGGTGTCAAGAGATGGGACAAAGGATGGACGAAGCAAGAACAGGAATTACAGATTAGCAGGGAACTACTTGAACGCTGTAAACACCAGGGAGGGAAAAGAATTGTTTAGGGTGGTTCAGTGATATTTCTAGGAGTGAAGGGATGCAGATAAGCAAGTGGAAAATGTAAGCTATTCCACAGGAAACACTTCCTGATGGTGATGGCTAATAGACTGTGGAACAGCCTCCTAAGGGAAGTGGCAGGAGCCACTCAGACAATTAAGACCAGACTAGACAACATACCTTAGGGCCTAATCATGCCTAAGACCACAGACAACTGACTGGATGTGACAAGTATCTTTCCTTCTTGCTTCAGAAATAAAGCCCTAAAGCTCAGGGGAAGAAGAGAACTATTGTCGTGTAAGGTCCCCACACGTAGAGAGGAATCACACCTGACTCAGATAAAATCCAAAGGCAAATTTTCCTTGTAAGTGACACTGGGGAAGGTTCCTCCTGAGCAGTATCTACACAAAAGGTCCTGTTCTCCAATGTTCCATTGCTGCCAACCAAAAACGTATCTAATTCACAATAAACGTTAATTCACTGTTTGCTCAGGCATTCTGCAATGTTTAATTAGGTCATTGTTTAAGGTTTAACAGCTTTAAGGACATTTTTGTTATGAAATGCTGAATTTATATCCTGTTCTACTTCACTGATACCATCCACCCCTCTAAACCACAACTGAGATAAGGACTTGATAGAAAACACAGATCCTGTCTTTGTTCATAGATACCAGGAACTCACTGGAACCCCTGCAAAACTCAAACACTAATTATTAGTTAGGATTCAACAGAAGAAGGGATGAACACTCCTGAGTGCTGGATGTGAGGCAGCTGTAGCCACCGAGGGCTGGATTTTTTAAATTTCATTTTATTTTTAAAATCTTTTTTCTCCCCTTCATCTTGGTGCCATGACTGAAAGCCTTTCAGGGTGCTCATGGTGTCAGTCTACTCAGAAGTGATTGAGACCCACAAGTTTATCTGAGAGAACCTGCCAGCACCTGTTCAGGCAGTAAAAAGTCAGTGATTGTTTTGTGAATTCAGCAGTAAAAGGCTCCATAACCCATTTCCACAAAACTGAGGTGCTGATTCAGGACCATTGACAACGTGATCCTGTGACCTTCACCTTCCCTTTACCTTCCCTTGGTGTTTGCTGTGGTTGTCTTTGGGTTTTGTAGTTCTACAGCCCTGGTTTAAAAGCTCCACAACCTTATCCCCAATGAACTGGCTGCACTTACTCCCAATTGTGAATCCCACTGACTGGAAAATCCAATTTGCACTACAGTAGAGCTTTGATGTCTGAGCCCTGCTCACCTCTGTGCAAACCCAGGAGTTTGGGGTAAACAGCCTGGGGTTCCTCACCTGACCTTGAGTTCTCACCTGGCAACTCTCCTCTCTGCTTTAACTCACCTCTCAAAGGCTTTGAGAGCAAATCTTTGCAGGTGGCTGTCCTCTCATGCCCAGGTTATTCCCTGCTTTCTTTCTCCTAAAGGTTCACTCATGTATAAATTGCCAAGAAAATCCCAATTCTGATGTGCTGGTGTGGAACTGTTAAAGCACAGGCTGAGCACTGAGTTGCCAAAAATATGCCTGGAGTCATTTATCCACACAAACATTGACTTATGGAACAGAACCAAGCATGTGAAGGTCTCCTTACCTGGTGTTCTTTGGGCATTTATTGATCAGAATATCGATTAAGGCACTTGGTGACATTCTGTGCCTGGAACTCCCTGTTCTGCCGTGTCCCAGTGGGGATGAGCTCAGCTGGAGGTCAGGCCACTCTCTGGTGCACACACAGGCCTGGAAAAATGCAACCAGCAAGTTTAGGAAGTGAAGTTTTGTGTTCTATCAGAAGTCTGTCAAAAAATAAAACCTTGTCAAAAGGGATTTTTTTGGATGATTAAAAAACATTAATGGAACAACACCACAGAAATCCCTTCAGCTCTTCCAACACAAACTAACAATGCTGTTTACTTTTCCTCTCAGCATTACTAAACACTTGCTAAACTAGACAGTGAGTCAACATCATTTGTGGTTTTCTGCATAAATTTAGTTTCTGTGAAAGAAAAGCTGGAACTCTCATTTTTTCAAGGTTGTATTAATTGCCACAAGCTTGTCCAAGTCTCCCTCTGGATTATAGTTACCCACATTTTATGTCAAGGCTGTGTTTATAACTTCTAAATCCTTCATGGATGGATGTATTGCTCTGCTACTGATATCAAGGTAAAGGTGGTAAAAGCCACCATGAGCCTTTCAGCAGGTGTGTTATAAATTACAAATTCTGGTAATTACCAATCTAATGACAGGACCCTCCATAATGATCCTTAAAATTGATTTGCCATTTCGTAAAATGTCTATAATTTACTAATCATGAGAAAACAGAAGCTCTAGTATTAATCATGATTATAAGAGGTTTTGAATTGTTATGGATTGAAGTTTGATAGCCTAAGAGAACTATTCCTGTCCAAGTCCTTTTGAAATTTAGAACTGTCATAAAAAGCCACTGAAGGAACCTGTGACAACCAAAACAGTCCTTCCTTTCCTGACTAGATCAACACATACTCCAGTTAAATCAGCTCTTTTCCTCTGAACTTTGCATTTCTTCTGGCAATGAAAAAATAAAATTAAGATGTTCTACTGAAAAAGTTCTCAGCCATCTCTGTGGGATGGATCACAGCTGAGTTACACTAACGATCCTTCAGGTCTTCCAGGAAGTGGGATCCTTCATTTCTTCAAATTCCCTATTGCACCAAGTAACCTTTAGAATAGTTCCTGGAAAAGAGTGAAATAAGTCCTCTTGCATAAGTGAATTTACAAGTCTATGAAAGGTTGGCGAGTGCAGAACTGACAAAGGGGATTTATTTTAACACTACGTGTATTCAAATGTGGAACTTTTGCCTCAAGAAATTGCGGAAGCCAAGATTTGAAAATCAAATTATTTGGAAGCCACACAGAGTCCTAATGATTCCTGCTAGAACTGTTGCTGGGGGGAATGTTACCAGGTAGGAACTGATTCAGTAAAGACCAGGAGGAGATCTAGAGAGGGCAGAGGATCTCTTCTAAATTATGGGATATCAGAACCCAGCTGGACTTGCTGCATGGTGCTCTTCACCCTGCTAAGGAGTCTTGAGCAACTCAAGGTTTCTCTACAGCTGAAGCACTCACCTCTGCCAGCCCTCCTTGGTTGGATACTTAAGAAATGAAACATCTTACCTGAATAAAATCGGGCAGAAAACCCCAAGGAATTCTCAAAAACATGTGCCCAGTCGTCACTCTCTGAGGATCCATTTCACTGCTGATTTTGGAGGGGGGGACAATTTGTGCAGCTTTTCATTCACCTAATTTTGAACATCTGCTGGTTTTATTTCTTTTTCTTTAGTGGGAAGCCACTGGTGTTACCGGTCCCAGAAGTGTGAACACCCGGAGTGTGAAGGTACAGCTGACCAAGTGATTTTTTTTCCAATCACATTTGTGATTATTCCATTTTGCAAAGGGGCTCTGGAGAGAAATAATGCAAAATTTCACACAACTCAGCACTTAATGCTTTATGTACACACCAGTGCTAAGCAGGATACCCAGGGGAGGGTGTTTTGAAGATACTCGTGGTGGGGTAACTGTTCATTTTGTTTCAAAATAACTCCAAATGAGCTCCAGAGGAGATCACCCTGATGTCTCCAGTTTCCCAAGCAAGAGTATATTGGTTGGGTGGTTTGGCTTTATGAGGGATTTGCTGTCTACAGAAAAAACTTGTTTCCTTCACCCTGCCACAGATCCTCACCAGTGGCACCTGACAGACGCCGCCTGCAAAGGGGACAGACAGTCCCCCATCAACATTGTCACCAAAAATGTCGTTTATGACAAGAGCCTCAAGCCTCTGACTTTTGAGGGATATGATGGGAAAGGGTCTTCAAAGTGGAATGTGGAAAATAATGGACATACAGGCAAGTACTGCCAAATACTGTGGGATTTATCTGTGCCTTGCCTTGGAACCAGCATTCGCTTCTTCCACGTCCTGGGCACGGTGCTGGGTATCCCTGTAGCAAGGAAGCA